CAACCCCAAAAATATGTATAATCAATTTTGATTCAATAAATAGATTTAAAAATAATAATAATAAAAAAAACTCCTATTACAATTTTCTTTGAGGCTTTGTATATATTAAAACAAAAATGTTCTGACTTTTTTGCATTTTTCTTCGCAATTTTTGCTTGTTTCATCCTAGTAAGGACTCAATTCTGAAGTTTATTTTTTTCCAACTTATCAAAAAATAAAACTCCTATTACAATTTTCTTTGAGGCTTTGTATATATTAAAACAAAAATGTTCTGACTTTTTTGCATTTTTCTTCGCACTTTTTGCTTGTTTCATCCTAGTAAGGACTCAATTCTGAAGTTTATTTTTTTCCAACTTATCAGTATCATACAGCCACATTCACTACTTGCTGGTTCATGAAGAGCGTTGTCCACAGGGAGTCTGTTTATTACAAATTATTGCACAGACTAGGTCAGATATCTTTGTCAACCCTATCAGAAAATTACTGTCATAACCAAGAATTAAAATATTATTTTGGAGCAAGTATTTAAAGAGCATCTACTTTATTTATCTTCCACCTAGTTCCTTCCTAAAAGAATCTTTGTAAGAGATGATTTGCACCGCACTGTTTTTAAGGAATGCATAATCAGGAATGTGTTTTGCTTTTTGTCAAAAGTACGTTTGGTTTTAACCCATGTGTGCACAGACTGTATTTTGACAACCATGATCTAGAATTGATTTATTGCTTACTTGTGTTTTCTTTCTTGGAAGAAGTCTGTACATTGACTAGTAAGTCAGTCAGTGGCACTTTCCATTTGCTATTAATATGAATGTCAACAAATAATTCCATCTGGAGTAATAAATAAGTTAGTCAAGGCAGTTTCCCTCAAACATGCTGAAATGTGTCACTATGATCTTAAGTGGCTCAAATGTGATTATGTTTATCATTTTCACTTAATTTCACAAATACTTATGGCACAATAGAGACAGTAATAAGCTATATTTATTTATAGTTCATCCAAAGATGAAGTCACAGGACTAGTGGGGGCTCTTAAATTTCTAGGCCCTGAAAGTTCTACGTCTCTTTAACATATGAATTTCTGTTAGGTTAGATCTCTCTAATTTTAGAAATATGTAGATTTTTATAAGTAAATATAAGATTTTTCATTTATTTCTATTATATTTTAATCAATTAAACTAGTTTGGGATCAGTCCATGTTCTGTACTTGTCATTTTAATCATAATATCCAATATATTATCTTTTTCTAGCAGCTGAAAAATGTGATAAACATGACTTTTGCTCTGCCCAAATTGTTGGCAAAAATGAAATCATGACAGGAGCAGTTGCTGGATGGTGCTGCAGGAGACCTACCTTGTGTTTTGCAGCATCACTGATTCTTAGCCTTGAAGACAGCTTTCCTTCCTTAAATGTTCCCCAGAAGAAACAATAAACTGTAGCTTAATTTTTTCTAACATTACCATCTTAGTGAGATCTATAATAATATGCTGTCGAAAACAATTTTTTTTATTGAACAGCCTTGTCAGTAGGTCTAGATTCATTTTTTTCCTATTTTGTAGAAAAGAACATTTTTTTCAGGGATAATGGTAACCATCCAGATTTGTTTAATAAAATGAGTATATTAGCAACTTACTTAGTCTCATTTGAAAACCTTCCAGTTTTCATTTATGGCTGCCATTTTATTTCTCTTACTCATTTATTAGGTAAATTATCAGGGGTTTTTTTTTGTGTTGTTTTATGATTACCTAAACTTAAACATATGTCTATTTTAATATTTTTACTTTTCAGAATATTTTTCTCAGCACTTGGGCGAGTATGAGAATGTACTAGCAGCACTTGAAGATCTAAATCTTTCCATCCTGAAGGCAATGGGCAAAACAAAGAAAGTAAGCAAATGTTGATGTTTATTTTCTATAAAAATCTCTTTTTTGAGAAATATTTTTCTTGAAAATCATACCTTTTTCCTAATGTATGAAAAAGTATAAATTCTTTTTTATCACTGATCATTTATTTTTCTTGATATTAAATGACCTATTTTGTGAATTCATAATACAATTACAGACACTATGTGCCAGAGACTGTGCTTTGTGCTGAGGATAAAAAGAGTCAATAAGCTGCTTGAACAGCTCTTAGTCTGTCGAAGACACAAGTGTATAATTAAGCAATTGCAATATAGCGTGAAAGAGAGAAGCACAAGATGGGAAACCTAATTCATGCTGAAGAAGATGACATCTGAGCACTGGGAGACAAAGGAAGGAGTTACAGCTAAACAAAGAGGGCTAGACCCAGGAAACAGTATATGCAGAGGCTCTATGCCAGGAGGGGCACAGGCACTTCAGGAAATGAAGATGGACAGTGATGATGAAGTATAGGAAATCAAAGAGGGGCATGATGGGGGCAGGGAGCACACCTTTCAAGACGTCAGCAAAGCTAAGAATTTAGGCCTGTATCCTCACCGCAAATAAATCAGCGATTATATTAAGGAGAGATATGAAAACTCATGCTGTCCTTCAAAAAGCCATACAAGAATTAGCTTGGGATTGGGGTGGAGAAAATGGGGGGCAGGAATCAGGAAGGCGAGTAGGGAGGCTAGCTGATAGAGGACTGGAGACATTTAACTACCTGGCCTGCAATGGGGAAAGCAAAAAACCACCAGCTTAGCTGATAGAAAGACCCAGGAATTGGTGGCACCAGTTGTCACCAGGAGAGGAGGGTAATGGTCGAGCTAAAATAGGTGACCTGTTGGAAAACTGTGTGAGAAATTAGAACCCCAGGTCTCCTGCTCTACTCTAGTCAGCTGAGCAGCTGCCTCTTAACTAACCAGACAGGAAACAGATTTGTTTCTGAAAAGGGTAAAAGAGAAGAAGTTCTCTGCCCTGGGGAGGGATGAAGTAAAAGTTTACATAGTAAATAAAAAGGGCTCCAGCTCTCTTCTCTTACTAAACTCCCAGAGCTTTGGCAATTAGGTTTTATTCCTCTCATTTTATTAAATTAATGTATTTTTTCTTAATTGATACATAATAATTGTATATATTTATGGGGTACATTGTGATATTTGGGTACATGTGTACAATGCACAATGATCAAATCACGGTAACTAGCATATCCAATCACCTCAAACGTTTGTCATGTCTTTGCGTTGTGAACATTCAAAATCCTCTCTACCAGCTATTTGAAATTATGCAATACATTGTTATTAACTGTAGTCTTCCTACAGTGCTATAGAGAACTAGAACTTATTCTTTCTATTTAGCTGCAATTCCAGACAGGAAGAGTCTACTGTGAGAAATCTAAACAGTACAAAGGGAAGGACCTAAAGATTTTCCAATGATAGAACCGGGCCAGATCTCCCTCTCTTCCCTCAAATACTAATCGGCTTGTTTCTAGCCTACCCATACTTAATATGCACAGTCAGCCAAGAGTTGTCACACAGGAAGGGCCGAGGCCAAAACAAACAGACAAAAAAACAAAGGAGGAAGGGACGGAGGGAGAAATGAAGGAAGGAAGAAAATAAGAGAAGAATTAACAGGGAATTATGCAGGTATGTAAAAACCGAGGCCAAAACAAACAGACAAAAAAACAAAGGAGGAAGGGACGGAGGGAAAAATGAAGGAAGGAAGAAAATAAGAGAAGAATTAACAGGGAATTATGCAGGTATGTAAAAACTTCAAACATACTATCCTTCACCTCCTTGGAGAGATAAGAGAAGATGTGGCATCCGTAGAGCAAGAATAGGATGACAAATGGTGGAAACCAGAGAACAAGAAAAAGCTCTTCAAAATTAAAACAGAGCAGGAATAAAGACTCAATAGAATTTGGAAAACAAGTTTAGAAAGTCTCCAAAAAAATCAAGTAAAACAGCAAATATAAGAAAATTGGAGCATCGGCCTAGGATGTCCTATATCCAAATAACAAATTCCAGAAAAAGGATGTCCTATATCCAAATAACAAATTCCAGAAAAAGGATGTCCTATATCCAAATAACAAATTCCAGAAAAAGGATGTCCTATATCCAAATAACAAATTCCAGAAAAAGGATGTCCTATATCCAAATAACAAATTCCAGAAAAAGGATGTCCTATATCCAAATAACAAATTCCAGAAAAAGGATGTCCTATATCCAAATAACAAATTCCAGAAAAAGGATGTCCTATATCCAAATAACAAATTCCAGAAAAAGGATGTCCTATATCCAAATAACAAATTCCAGAAAAAGGATGTCCTATATCCAAATAACAAATTCCAGAAAAAGGATGTCCTATATCCAAATAACAAATTCCAGAAAAAGGATGTCCTATATCCAAATAACAAATTCCAGAAAAAGGATGTCCTATATCCAAATAACAAATTCCAGAAAAAAAGAACAGAGAAAACAGAAAAACATGGGATTAGAATACATTTCTCTCGTCCTCTTCAGGGGTATTTGGAAACTGCATAACAACTTTGTCCCTTGGGAATTTCCTTCTAAAAATGGTCATTTTAAAAATTTCTGCTTGGTGTGGCTGGTTTCTTCTCATTCTTTTGGTCTCATATTAAATACCATGGCCTCAAAAAGGTCTTCTCTGACCAATCTATCTAAGAAAGGTCGTCTCTGTTAAAGTATTTCACTCATTTCTTGCTGGCAATGATCACAATGGGTAACTATGTAATTTTTTATTTTTGCTGTTATTTGTTGTCTTTAAGTAGGGAGAAATACTGTGTTTTTTGCTCACCTTGTATACTCTGAACCTAGTACAGGACCTGACAATTAAAATGTGCTAAAAAAAATTATCAATGGATTAAATAAATTGATTGATTATATGAACATTTATACAACTCTAAGAGCTAAATACTTTTACTCCTAAAAGAAAAATTGCAAAAATTTACACTAAAATCATGTTCTGTTCCTTATATTGATACAATGAGGCTGAGTGGGATTTAAATTGAGGTCAACCTGTTATTTTGGTCTCTTAAGTTACGAAATCTTTTTCTTGACATGGGACCTCTAAAATGCATTTGATTCATGTCATCATACTGCTTAATCAAGAAAAACATGTGTCTTTGATTTAAAATAAAAAAGGAGAAAGAAAGAAAAAAAAGAAATGGTCAAAAATAAAATTAGAAAAGGTCCCTTTGTGTTAACTCAAAGATGAGTGAAATGCAGGATTTTTGACATTTTTCAAGCCACTGTTGAACTGACATCTTCTCCATACTGTCTAGCACAATGAACCCTTCTGAGTGAGAAATCCAGCATTTCTTTTTGAGAATCTCTCTATATTTTTACCCAGATGAAAAGTCCTGTCTCCGTAGGAAGGGCTGATTGTTCTAGGCTTTTATGAAAAATGAAATACAAGCCATTTGTGGTCTGCCTTGACGGGCAGTACATCTGTTTGCTGTGTCACAGAATAGATAAAATGGATTTTACCTGCCTAACTTGAACTTCAGGAGGTGACTCAGACCAGATATAGGCTGGCATTAGTTTTCCTTTCTCCTCCTTCTCCCTTAACCCCAGACTTTTGACAGATCCTCAAGGGCTACGTGGATAATTTTACTTTGCTCATTTTTCTGGAACAAAACACCACAGGTCAAATTCCAAATGGACATTTGAGAGCCCTGAAGGTAGCTAAAACCAGAACTCTCGGTCTGAGTTTGGAATTGCACTAGGTTTGTCAACTAGTTTTTCTTCTTTCTACAGAGTGATTGATAAGTTAACTCACATCATCAGTATGTGGATGAACTTGTAATTTCAGAGCAAATGTAGAATTCTGATGCTAAAGCTAAAATTTATCATGTGCTATGTTATGTAAACATAAATGGGATTCCCTGCTTATTGGTGAGGCTTAGGGAGATTATCATAAACTAAAGTGTGGAATGGTATTCTTAATTGTCTAGGGTTTCATAGTTACCTTTACTAAGTGTAGCAATGAATATTTCCAAAATTAAAATGTATATATATATATTTTTTTCTTCCCTCTTCTCAACGTTGTTTTTCAAACAAGCACACCCTAAAATACATTTTCAGTGATTTTAAGAATAAAAGACTTGGGTCCTAGTATACTGGGCCTCTGTCTCTTCCTTGCCTTTCACATCTGTCTTTTGGATCCATGTTGTTTCTCTCTCTAGCATCAATTGACTCCTTCTTCTCAGTCTTTCCATATCTCCCTTGCCTTTCACATCTGTCTTTGGGATCCATGTTGTTTCTCTCTCTAGCATCAATTGACTCCTTCTTCTCAGTCTTTCCATATCTCCTCTATCCCTAGTTTTTTATATACAGCATCTGGGCCTCCCAGGGCTACATATTCTTTTCACTAAAGACCACAGTCTTTTCCTTTATGAGTCTTATTATAATAAAGAAGATGCAATAGCAATAGGTCACAGAATTTCTATATAAAGAAAACATCATTAATTGCTCTAATTTTAAGTAGGATTTATCATTAAAATGTCCCCTTGTTTCAGGCAAAATATCAGAGCTGAAATGATACCATGTGTGGAATAGTGAAATATGTCTTTGGCTTCATTATAGTTTCACTGTAATCCTTTAAATGTTCATTCAAAATAAAATGGAAAAAATGCTCTTGGACTTCAGAGCAACCAAGGGAAAACATTTTCCAAACAGCTTATTTGACATCCCATTTATTTAGGGAAGAGAAAGCAGAGACTAGGAGCATGGAAAACAGGAAGAAGTGTCTTGAGGTTGCAAGTTTGGTCTAATAGGAAAGAAACCCTTCATCAGACCGAACATCTAGAATCCTCCTGGCAGCCTTGGCCAGACTGCTCAGCTCCTGGGAAAGGGGAGCTCCAGGCCCATGGAAAGGCTGCTCTGTTAAGTCATGAAGAACATGGCCCTTTCATAAGAGACCCATGTTCTCCTGAAGGACTCTGCAGTACCTGCCAACTCCAAGAATAA